GAATATCCGAATATACGATCAAAGTATGACTCGACTTGGGCCTGTTCTAAAGGGTGATGGACACGCAGACAAACACATATTTTGTCGCAATAACTACAGAACAGTAACGGCAGTAATAAACATAGCAAAAGCAATAGTTATACTAAAACTAATCGATGCTGGTCTTTGTTCAGATAAAACGATATCAATGGAAAAAAAATAAATAAATAAAGGGTAGCATATTGGTACTGTTGATGAAAATATCAGTGGATCTAACTATTATGGTATATGTTTCCATTGCTACTACAAGATTAAGTTAAAATTCATTTCACCAAGTGTTAATGATATTTCGATGGTTTAGAAGGAAATTAAAGTATCATTTTTCACGATTCCTTGTGATAAGTCAGTTACTGTGTAAATCTAACAGCGAACCTAAATTCTGCATAAATTCCCGAACTACACGAGGGCAGTAATGCTGCTACATTTTGAGTATGATCTTCAGTGTCACGAAGTAGTAGCTCCGAACTCACTTTTCATGTACTGCTCTTCTTTAAAGTACATTCATGTCCAAATCAATATAACTGATTCCATTATTAATCCTTTACATATACCCGGCTAATCTCAAAGGCGTGGTCAGTGTTTTAGGTTCATTCACTAACAGGCCATAACCTTATATTATTGTGTTTGATTATGATTATATCTTGTAATGTATCAAATAAGACGAAATAAACCAATGCATAGTCCCTTGATCTTTGGAGTATGTTGACCCTAAAGAGCGAACAAAGAAAGTGACCTTCAGCAATAAATTTGCAAAGTGCAAAGAAAATATCTTTTGCAGCTTTCGCAGACTCCCTGCCCTTATGCAAAGATGATATATTGTGTTGTATACGATTTACTATTATCTCTGATTACTTGGATAAATTTATAACAATTGGGTTCTCTTGGTTCTAAATACTGCGGCATATACACATATAACACATACTGTATGCTAGCGAGCTCAGATGTTTTTGTGTGTGCACGCAAGCGTTTCATATTTCTCTATTTTTTTATCATTATCAAATTGGCGCCTTTGTATATAAGTGGAATGTCAGCTAGTTTAGATCATAGAAAGTACAATCCTGGGCAGGGCAAACCCTCCAATGATGTAATAACTTCTAAAAAGTTGTCCCTCGGTGACCTTCAGCCTCGGTTATATTGGTACAATGGTATATAAAGATCAGCGTCAGAACTGCCGGTATCATTTCTTATCCTGCAATACTACATTCAACATGAACAGCAAGGTGAATGTTGACATTGTCGAGGACTTTCCTTAGATGTGTAAACATATTATTGAATTTTATATTACCTGTTGTTACAGAAAGACATAGCGCATCTATCTATGTATTACAATAATTCATGTGCATGAAAGTCGACTAAACCATTCATTTTTTATTTACAGGTCCTTCTCTTCATTTGCCTCGCAGCCGTTGTAGCTGCCGAGAGCCGGGTAAGCACTTATGCATATTTACATGTGTAATCTGAATTAACTTGAAGATCATGTGCATGTTTGCTACAATCATTATGACACGCTTCACATTTCTAGGAATCCTTCGAGTCCTACGAGTCAGGTGAAGCGAAATACGACTTCAACTGGGCTGTCAAACATGACGATTCTGGCAACGATTTCGGCCACCAGGAGGCCCGTGACGGAGACCACACACAGGGATCCTATTACGTGCAGCTCCCCGACGGCCGCCTGCAGACCGTCAGGTACGTCGTGGACGGCGACGACGGATATGTGGCCGAAGTGAACTACGAGGGCGAGGCTCGTTACCCTGACTCATACGAGTCAAATGAGTCGAAGTAGATTATTTTTCGTCTTTCTATTTTACTGCATATAACGTGACCCATCAACAGACAACACTTTATTATTTTTTTGTAAATAAGTTTGTTTATGCATAATTCTATTAAACTTTATCCAAGTTGCAATTGACGTTTCCATCTTTGTTTTCGCTCCTATGGTTTTAAAATACTGATAATAATTTATATCATACATACATGTTTACATAAAAAGTGCACACACACATGTATATGACACGTAAGTTAATATTAATAAATTAACTATATATATGCAGTTGTATATAAACTGTACAGACATATATTTTACATACATAGGCATATACATAAGTTCACAAATATGTAATTAGTACATATAAACATGTCTTCATGCATAAAGAGTGTGAACTTTTCAGTAAATTTTTCATTCACAAAAAGTCACTGGTTTCATGCATACATACACCCCTACAAATACATACATATGGACAGACATGCTTCCCGAGTTCCTAGACCAGGTAAGGAGTAAAGTCCTTCTCTATCCGCTATGGAAATCTTACCTGGTAAAACTGAAAGTAATGCATACCTTGTGGTGAAGACCACCGATGGCGTGTCCATCATGGATCTCAAAATACATGAGATGTTTCAACGTAATCCTCAGATCACCCTACAGCGAGGTGGTAAGTTTCGTCACCAGACGAGAGTGACGTCTGCGTGCGATATTCAGTATTCCAGGGGCTCAAGTCTGATGTTATCCTCACAAAACAGTCAGTGCAAGGGAATTCTCTGTAATGGCAGAGTGAGTGGAGCAAGAAGCAAGAAGGTTAAGAGATGACGGGAAGGAGGTCAAGTTAAACTTGACCATGAATGTGAGTCTTATTAATCTGCACCTCCCACTGTTATCTTGCTGTTGAACTCAGTTCATAATGAAGTTCTCAGAATCTGTACAGGGGCATTCAGGGCTTCACGTGGGGAGTCCCCGTATACAGAGAGTGGAGAACCACCTCTTTCATTAAACCAGGAATACATGAACTATGATTTACTATAGAAAACTACATAAGATTCTGGGATCTCTTACATCCAAATCAGTTTTCAACTCCTTTGAGGGCAGCCGATCCTATGGCAGGACAATGAGGAATCTTGTGGAAGATCTAAAGTTGAATGTCTCCAAGGTTCTAGCTGTTGGAAGTCCCCCAGGTACCCCCTTAGACCAATTTAGTTGAGCTGGGCAAGGAGAAGATATCCGAAGCAGAAATCAGGGCGAAATTTCTTCAACACACTTCTAAATAGCAAGGATCAGGTGTAGTATATATAGAGGGTTCGAAATCTGAAAATGATGTGCGTTTTGGAACAGTCAGCAGTAGGAAGACTGCAATTGGCAGTCTTTCTTCTGCAGCCTAGTACTTCACTGCATAGTTACATGCCATCCTTGCAGCAGACAAAATAAGAAGATTGTTTTGCACTGATGTGGGCACGTAAGAGAATAACTGTGTTAGGTGCCATCACATATTGGTATCAACAGGAATGAGCGAGCTGATCGCAGGGCTAAGGAAGCTGCAGTTACACACTTACTTGAAACACAGCATCAGACGATGTCTTCAAAATAAATGGAGGGAACGATGGAGGCATACCTCTAGAAACAAACTGCGAGAGATTAGAAATGACCTTAGTAGTAGGGTGACCATCGTCCATCCCAACCGACATGTAAAAGACTGAGAAGGCTGAGAACTGGGCACAGAAGATTGACTCATGGGCCGATGATGGCCAAGAATGAAGCCCGTTATGAGGGATGCTAAGAGCCATTAATGGTCGCACATGTAGTGGAAAGATGTGCAATATTTTCAGACTAAAGACGCAGGTACTTGTCTCCTCCATATACAGTGAAACTGTATTGGGGGATGATACTGAAATAGGTTTTACTCGTTTTCTAAGGGAGCTTAATATTTTTAATAAAGTGTAATTATGCGTAATATTTATGCAATAATGATATACTTTTAAATCATATTGTTTACGCTTTGATTATATATATATATATATATATATATATATATATATATATATATATATATATATATATTACTCATTAGAGACATGTATTGACAGATTTTTAAACGTATCAAACAATTCAAACTTGTAATCCCACAAGGTATTCGCTGCTAATGACCTAAACTGTTGATGCGGTTAAGTTTAAATAGCCACTAAATATGTAAATGACCCAATTTATCATACAACATCTATAAATCTCTGAACTCTATATGAGTGCTACTCATAAATGCATATAATTTGGTTGCGTCACATTATCTCCTGTCACTGCTCGTCTCTCTCTGAGACAGGGAGGTGTTCTCTGTACAGAGTAAATTTTAACGTCCGTTCTTTCAATGCTTTGGTTGGATCACCATGATCACTTTTACTATTGTTTTCTCAAACTTTTGGCGTACATGTTAACAAAATTAATTTCCTAATTAGAAATTTAGATGCAACCAAATATGTACCAAATATGATTCGACATATATATGCTTACTTGTTAATCTATTTTATTCTGTATATGTGTACATGTGTACATGTAATCATATATATATATATATATATATATATATATATATATATATATATATATATACATACATATATATACATATATATATATATATATATATATATATGATATCATTAATTACATATTCAATTTCTTTCAACAGAAAGATTAGAGAAAGAAAGACAGAAACGTCAGTTGTAGCTTTGAAAATAATTTATTAAATAATGCATAAACAGATATTTACAAAAACCTTTTAAAAGAGAGGGTCTCTCTGCCGTTGGGTCATTTCACATGCAGGCAAACTATTCAAAGAATCTATTTCGATTCATTTGACTCGTATGAATCGGGGTAACGAGCCTCACCCTCGTAGTTCACTTCGGCCACGTAGCCGTCGTCGCCGTCTACGACGTACCTGACGGTCTGCAGGCGGCCGTCGGGGAGCTGCACGTAGTAGGACCCCTGTGTGTTGTCTCCATTGCGGGCTTCCTGGTGGCCGAAGTCGTTGCCAGAGTCGTCGTGCTTAACGGCCCAATTGAAGTCATATTTGGCCTCACCAGATTCGAAAGATTCCTATCACCATATAGGAAGATATATATATATTTTTTATTAGAAATTATTTTATTAAGCATTTTTCTCATTCTTAAGATGCATTTTCAAAAAAAATATTCTTTAAAGGATAATTACATGGGTAACACTTACTAGGCTGTCGGCAGTAACAAGGGCTGCGAGACCCAGAAGAATAAGGACCTGGAATTATGAAAAGATATTAAAACAAAATAATTGGAATTCCGTGTTCCCTTGTATTAGTTATTAATACTATGTCTGCATTTGTTTGTAACGGTTTTGTAATATTGCTAATATACAAGATACAAAAAATGTAAAATCGACTGCTTTGCCAAATTGCTCAAAATCAAATAATATGTCAGTGAAAAAGAAAACTTTGAGAACGATACCACATATGATACTAAAACCAGTAAAAAGCACATACGGCTTAACTGATACCTATATTTTCTAAAGCAATTAAATTTACTGTTTAAAATGCGAAGTTACCTTAGTATTCATAGTGAATTCGGTTGCTTCAGAAACAACTGCTGCCGGCCAGTCTGCCAGTGACGTGTATATATACCTCCTCCGACCAAATCTGCCCAGGGTTCAAGGCTACTCTGGGATGGGTTATGTTACTTCATCCAGGGTTGGGTTGGGTCGCCGACTATCAGTAGTTCTATGCTAAATTTCAGCCGAGAAGTTACTTCTTGTCTGCTCAATGTTAGCAGAAATGAGTTTTAAGGAGTAAAGGGAGTAATGTAGAAATAAATATAAAGTAGTATATCGATAGGAGGATGCATTTAAAATATACCTGCTGATAATTACTTGATAATTAGACCTAATAACTATAGACTGATAAAAAAATATATATATATATACATATATACATCTATATACGCATATATAAACACACACACACATATATAAACATATATATATATATATATAGATATATATATATTTTTTATTAGAAATTATTTTATTAAGCATTATTCTCATTCTTAAGATGCATTTTCAAAAAAAAAAAATCTTTAAAGGATAATTACATGGGTAACACTTACTAGGCTGTCGGCAGTAACAAGGGCTGCGAGACCCAGAAGAATAAGGACCTGGAATTATGAAAAGATATTAAAAAAAATCATTCGAATTCCGTGTTCCCTTGTATTAGTTCTTAATACTATGTCTGCATTTGTTTGTAACGGTTTTGTAATATTGCTAATATACAAGATACAAAAATGTAAAATCGACTGCTTTGCCAAATTGCTCAAAATCAAATAATATGTCAGTGAAAAAGAAAACTTTGAGAACGATACCACATATGATACTAAAACCAGTAAAAAGCACATACGGCTTAACTGATACCTATATTTTCTAAAGCAATTAAATTTACTGTTTAAAATGCGAAGTTACCTTAGTATTCATAGTGAATTCGGTTGCTTCAGAAACAACTGCTGCCGGCCAGTCTGCCAGTGACGTGTATATATACCTCCTCCGACCAAATCTGCCCAGGGTTCAAGGCCACTCTGGGATGGGTTATGTTACTTCATCCAGGGTTGGGTTGGGTCGTCGACTATCAGTAGTTCTATGCTAAATTTCAGCCGAGAAGTTACTTCTTGTCTGCTCAATGTTAGCAGACATGAGTTTTAAGGAGTAAAGGGAGTAATGTAGAAATAAATATAAAGTAGTATATCGATAGGAGGATGCATCTAAAATATACCTGCTGATAATTACTTGATAATTAGACCTAATAACTATAGACTGATAAAAAAAAATGTATATATATATATACATATATACATCTATATACGCATATATAAACACACACATACACAAACATATATATATATATATATATATATATATATATATATATATATATATATATGTATATATATATATATATATATATATATATATATATATATATATATATGTATTTATATATACGCATATATAAACACACACACACACACACACACAAATACACACACACACACATACACACACACACACACAC